TTGAAAGCTCAGATTTTGTCACTGGCCAAAAAATTTTGTCAGTTGTTTTTCTTGCAATGACTAGCTGACTTTATTTTTGAGAAAATGTCTCCCAAATACCCAAGTCTGAATAAAAACTGTTTGCCAGCATTCTTTCAAATAAAAATGGTATTCAATAAAGTAAATAGTTCAACCACTGGCAATTATACAAGTGCTTTTCCTTGAGATAACCATTGTACTTAAGATGTACAGCAGACGCTTTATGTTCTTGAACTGTGGTCTCCAGACCAACAGCGTCAGCACCATCTAGGAACTTGTTAAGTTTACAAATTATTGGGTCCACTGTAGACCTACTAAATCAGAAACTGGAAGTGAGGCCAGTGGTCTGTGTTTTATGACCCTCCAGGTGATTCTGATTCCATCTACATTTGAGAACCACCACTTCAAACTTAGAGCAATGGTTCTCAGTTTTGGTTGCAGATTAGAATCACCTGGGAAGTTTATATGTTTTGTTTTTTGTTTTTTCTTTTTGGAGGCAGGGTCTCATTTTGTCACCCAGGCTGGAGTGCAGTGGCACGATCACAGCTCATTGTAGCCTCATCTTCCCAGGCTCAAATGATCCTCCCACCTCAGCCTCTGGGGTAACGTGGACTACAGGTGCGTGCCACTATGACTGGCTATTTTTTTTTTTTTTTCTGTATTGACACAGGTCTCACTGCGTTGCCCAGGCTAGTCTTGAACTCCTTGGTTCAAGTGATTCTCCTACCCTAGCTTCCCAAAGTGCTGGGATTACAAGCATGAGCCGCCCCCACCTGGCCACACCTGGGGAGTTTAGAATCTCTAGTGCCTAATTATTCTTCATCAATTCAGAATCTCTGAGGGTAGGATCCAGACTTCAGAATTTTTAAAAATTCCCCCTGATGATTCCAAAGTGCAGTCACTGCCTTGGGCTATCTTTCTGAAACAGTTCTCAGCTATGTTCTTGTCTGGGACTGGACAGCTCTCTATTGAAAATGGAGCTCTCTGACAAGTTCCTGGAGTGCTAATAACTAGACTGCTGCCTGGTAGAGACAAATGAATGTTTTCAGAATCATTTTCCCATCTTAAATAGTCAGAAAATCCCAAATGGTGAACAAGAAAATGTCCTAGCAGAATTCAAGAATACTTCCCATTAGTTAACGCTCTTTTTTAGAAAAGGGGAAATCCTGGCAGGTCTGGTGAGGTCTTTCTGCTTTGATTACCACTGAAGCCTCCTTTTCAGCCAGCAGGGCTTGCTTTTCTACTTAGCTTTTATTTCTCCAGATTGTCTTAAGTTAGCGGTTCTCACCTTTACCAGACTCACCATTTCTATTTTAAAATAAATATTTTATCACCCTTTTTTCATCCACGAATGAAATATATAGAGTGCAACCTGACTACATATATAAATTTAAAAAATCAACATGATGCCCTGACTATATTATAAAGGATAAATGAGATTAATTTATAACAAAAATATATATGGTAGTATATAAATGTGTGGGAACAACATTGACAGACATAATTGTCAGATACTGGCATATACATTTAATAATTTATTATAAAAATTTCAAACATATACTAAAGTAGAGAGAGTAGTATAATTAACTACATGCTTTCTCAGTATCCAGCTTCAACAATTATCAATTATCAATAGCTGATCTTTTTCATTCTTACCAATGCTACCTAAAATGTGGTCCCTGGACCAGCAGCATTAGTGTTACCTGGAAGATGGTTAGAAATGCAAATTCACTGACCTCACCCCTTACTCCGGACCACTGAATCAGAATCTCTGAGGTAGGGTTCAGCAGTCTGTGTTTTAACAATCTCTCCAGCTGATCTGTAGGTCCGCTAAGTTCTCAGAGCTACTGATCTAGATAACATTCCTACCATCTCAGATTATTTGAAAGCAAATCCCAGATAGTACCCAGATATATTTTATCCATAAAGAATTATTTTAACTTTAAAAAATATAACCACATACTATTATGTCACCTAAGAAAAGTTTAAAACTCTAATTATTTATCTCATCAGATATATGGAATTTAAAAATTTTCTCAGATTTTCACAAATGTCTTTTTGCAGTTGATTTGCTTGCATCAGTTCAAACAAGATTTATATATTGCATTAGGTTGATATGCATCTTAAATATCCCTTAATCTAGAATGATTCCTTTTTAAAAAAATTCCTGCCATTTATTTGTTGAAGAAGCATTTGTCACATTGTTTCTCACATTCAGGATTTTGCTAATTGTGTCCCTGTATGTCATTTTGTCATGTTCCTCTTTTTTCTGTATTTACTGTAATCTGGCTGTTAGATATAGAGGCTTGATCTATCAGGTTTGGCTCTTTTGGAAGGAATATTTCACAGATGAAGCTATGCCTGTCCCATTACATCATAGCAGAAAGCATATCAATATCTGGGCTGTTTCTCTTTTTCAGTTAAGATTGGTTAGTGGGTTCAAGTATTGAAAGCATAATCTAGTCTATATGAAAGTTTCCCATCAGCCCTTTATCTAATGGTCCTAGCAGCCACTGATGAGCATTGCCTAGGTCAATTTTTTTCACTAAGGGATGAAAAAATGATGATACTCTAATTTTTATCATTTCTGGATTTTATTACCTGAAATATAAAGAACGTTCTTTTTTTCATGTATTTGTATAGGAAATACAGTTTATACATAAAAGGCAGAGCAAATGCTCAATTTAATTCCTTTATTAACTAGACTTCAAATAATGAATTTGAAACATCCTCTAAATGTTTACTTTTGAATGTCATGTACTATGGATTTTAATATATTTGATATTTTCAATTCACTTTAGTAATCATTCATTATGATGCTTAAATTGTCTCACCTTTGACTAGATGGAGTTTCTTCAGGTTGGCTCCTGAGTTCTTCTGAAACAACCTTAACAGTGCGTGATGCCTTCTTACTTTTGAGTATGAAAAGCTATTTCAAGCTCATCTTATACATTTCCCACACCAACCCTGGAGTCAATTATTTCTCAAAGGAGACTTGGTTCCTTTTACTGAGAAATGGTTTTTAAAGACCATAACCTGAGTGGTAGGGGAGATCATTGCTATAAGGCTATTGTTCTTAGTCCTTTTCAGTGGAAAGAGCTATGAAATACATATTTTTTTCTTTTTTCTTTTTTTGAGACAGAGTCTCACTCTGCTGCCCAGACTGGAGTGCAGTGGCGCGATCTCAGTTCACTGCAACCTCGGCCCCCCAGGTTCAAGTGATTCTCTTGCCTCAGCCTCCTGAGTAACTGGGATTACAGGTGCCTGCCACCACGTGCAGCTGATTTTTGTATTTTTAGTAGAGATGAGATTTCACCATATTGGCCAGGCTACTCTCGAACTCCTGACCTCAAGTGATCCACCCGCTTCAGCCTCCCAGAGTGCTGTGATTATAGGCGTGAACCACCACACCTGGCCGAAATAATATTTTTAAGGAGAAAATTAAATCTTGAGAACATACTAATGCTTCCAATTTAAATATAAGACTATAGGAATTTTAGGTCTTTGATTTTATACTTGCATCTTTCCTCTTACACTAAAATTTTTGGTTCCTAATGATACTAATATAATCACTTATTTGCTTTACCCATATATACCATAAAAATATTTTTATAACAATATCAGTATATTAATAAAAATATAACTAAAATTCAAGATTTCTCTGTAGTTTTTTCTCTTTTTTTTTTAGACGGAGTCTTGCTCTGTTGTCAGGCTGGAGTGCAATGACACGATCTCGGCTCACTGCAACCTCTGCCTACCAGGTTCAAGCAATTCTCCTGCCTCAGCCTCCTGAGTAGCTGGGACTATGGGCACACCACCATGCCCAGCTAATTTTTGTATTTTTAGTAGAGATGAGGTTTCACCATATTGGCCAGGATGGTCTTGATCCCTTGACCTCATGATCCGCCCATCTCGGCCTCCCAAAGTGCTGGAATTACAGGCATGAGCCACTGTGCCCGGCCTTCCCTTCCTTTCTTACATAAAAGTTACTGTATACCACTGTTCCGTACCTTGTTTTTAAAGTTTTTAACTTATGTCCTAGGATTGTTCAGTAACAATATTTAGAGATATTACTCAGTCCTTTTATAGTGGCATAGTACTCCACTGTGCAAATCTATTACAGTGTATTCAAACAAATTCTCTGCTGATAACATTTGGACTGAAAGATGTCTTATACTATTACAAATATTGACATAATAAATATCCTTGCATATTCATAATTAAATATTTTTGTTATATTTTCTTTGGGTTAGATTCCTAGAAGTTGCATTTTGGGTAAAAAGTAAAGGAACTTTTTAATTTTGCTAGCTATTGCCAAATTCTCCATATGGAAAAAGTACAGTTTTGTATTTCTACCATCAATGTGTGAAAATTCTACATACTTGAAAATTAGTAAGGTTGGATTTTAAAGAAGACATTAAAAGGAAAATTAGCATTTTTCTTTATATTTTCACTTTGAAATAGTTTAAGGAGGTATATTCATATACATACATGAGACAGGCACAAATATAGCTACAGGCATACTGTATTGCTGATTCAAATATCAGGATATTGATATCGTTAGTGATTTAATTTTTCAAAATGGCAAAAACAATTGATAAAGTGTAAACAACATGAACTTCATTTTACTCTTGATTTACACAGAATTTGCATTACTAACAAATTCAGTAGATATTAAAACTGTACAAAATCATTTTTTAAAATTTTTTTGAGATGGAGTCTCACTTTGTTGACAGGCTGGAGTGCAGTGGAGTGATCCCGGCTCACTGTAACCTCCACCTCCCAGGTTCCAGCGATTCTTCTGCCTCAGCCTCCCTAGTAGCTGGGACTACAGGCATACACCACCACACCCAGCTAATTTTTGTATTTTTAGTAGAGACGGGTTTCACCACATTGGCCAGGATGGTCTCGATCTCTTGACCTTGAGATCCGCCCGCCTTGGCCTTCCAAAGTGCTGCGATTACAGGTGTGAGCTCCTCATGTGGAGGAGACAATATTTATTTCCAGCTTTGTCCAAGGGCCATGTTAACTTTTCTACCCTCTATTGTAATACAGTCAGAAGAGATCTGGACTGTCTGGACATACAGTGTATAACATCACATTGATATGTTAAATCAACAATATTCGGACTGAGCATGATGAGCAAGATGTGACTTGTATACTAGAGGTCTTGGTAAGACATGTATCCAGACAGTGGGAGATACACTCAAAGAAGATTCAAGAATTTGTGACTTCAGTAAAGTTTTTTCAAGGTCCAGTAGTCAGTGGTCTGTGGAGACATGCCCTCCAGAATAAAAGACAAATTTCTGCATCTTGCATCTCCTACTATAATGAAGCCCAAAGCCTGGTGGGCCTTTAGGTTCTGGAAGCAACGAATTCCATACCTAGGAATACTGCGTTGGTTCACATGTAGGCAACATGTGAGGCTGCCTACTGTGAGTGCAGAGACGAAGGCTACACATGCGCCCAAGAGTACGAATTCCCACTTACCAAGGCCAATATAGCTATTTGTCTCTGAAGGTCTAATTTGCCAGCAACAGAGACCAACCCCGAGTCCCTGATATGGCCCTATTACTTGAGAAGATAAACCAGCCACTTGGTGGCAAGTCAACAACACTGTGCCCTTTCCATTCTGGAGTGGCCAGCAGTTCATCCTTTTAGGGATACATATGTATTCTGGGTATGAGTTTGCCTGTCTTGGCTTCAGAGCCACAGCCCATACCACTATCTAGAGGCTTAAAGAAGGCCTGATTCACAGGTATAGTATCCAACTCAACATAGGGTCCAAACAGGGGATCCATTTCATAGTAAAGGTGTTATGAGTATGAACTAATGACTAAGGGATCTACTGGTTTTATCACGTACTGCACCATCTGGAGCAACCAGCCTGGGACAGCACTGGGCAGCCTACTGAAGGTGCAGCCGGAGTACCGATTTGGAGGCAATATTCTGCAAGAACAGAGTGCCACTTTTCAAGATCAGTATATATACTAAATCAGGGAGCTCTAAAGGCACTGTCCCTAATAGGAGGAATACATGGGTCCAGGAAAAAGGCAGAGGAAGCAGAAGTGGCCCCACTTACCATCCACCCAAATGACTCATTGGGGAACTTTGTGCTTTCTATTCCTGAAACTCTGGGTTTTGAAGGTTTAGAAGTCCTGGTCCCCAAAGTGGGGTGAATTTTTGCCAGGAAATACAAGGAAGGTCCCATTGAACTACAAGCTATGACAACTGTTTTGGCATTTTGGACTCTTTGTATCAAGGTACCAGCAGGCAGGAAGAGGAATCCCCATCTTGGCAGGGGTAACTGACCTAGATCAAGAGGAAGAAGAAGGGCTACTTTTATGTAATGGGCAGAGAAAAATATGTGGCCCCTAGGTGATCCACTTGGGAGTCTTTTGAGACTTACTTGTAACTGTGGAAGGACATGTACAACAATCACATGAGGTATGTGTAATTGCCAATAAATATATATTTCTCATCAGGAATAAGGATTTGGGTCACATCCAGGTTATACCACTAAGATCTGTGGAAGTAACTGCTGAAGGAGAGGAGAACTTGAAATTGGTATGGAAGAGGAAGATAAGTAGTAGTTGTATCCTTGAAACCAACTGAGTGACAGGGAGTATGGTTTATCCCAATGACCCCCTTTGTTTAAGTTTTCCCTCAAGAAGTGAGGTCCAGAGGAATCATAGAAAAGCTACTCCCAGAACATGAGAGGTTCAACAGAGAACCTGCTGGAAGGACTAGAAATGAAAAATAGAGTTGAGGAAACCATGAAGAAGACAATACAGATGCAAATGCTTCTAAAGTTACAGAAATACCAGGAAATAATACTTATGAAGATGAAGCAGATGACGAAGATGAAGGAACCAAAAGGAATCCTTTGACAAAATGCCTCCAGCATCCATTAAAAATAGCAATGATTCACCTTGAGAACTCAAGATGCAAAACAAAAATGCCAAGAAAATATCTCCCAAGCTGGACTATTGAGAAGCAGCTAATGGCCAGTAAACAAACTAGTAAAGCATTTGCTAATGGTGATATGAAGATTTTCTAACAAAAAATACACAAGAGTTTGCCTGTAAGTCAGGTGAAGGGTTCCAGATCATCAGCTAAAAATAAGGTTAGCTGTTATGCTAAACCTGTGATTGCAAATGAAATTGACAATGAAGTGGGACCCTCAGAGTCTAAACGAGAAAGAACAGGGGTGAATCTGTGATAAGATTATTGATACTCTAGGCAAGGTGAAGCCACCTCTGTTAAGGTCTGATGCTATCCCTCCTGACAACCATAAGCAAAACGGAAAAGATGCCATGAAGTTTCCCTAAGGTTTCCAAATGACTTTTGAGGTCAAAAGAAGAAACAAATCTGCTGAAACAATTCAATAAAAAATGTGAACACTTATGCAGCCTGGGAAGTTAGTTCATCTTGTTTTCAATGCAGGATCTCAGCTCCCAAGGCTTATCTCCCCAGACTTCTCATTTTGTATCCCACTTTAGCCTGGATTAAAAAAAGAGAAAAGAAAAAGATAAAGAAAACATCAAAATCATCACCTTGGCATGTCTTGACATGTTATGACTTATGTATATCATCTTGTTCTCTTGCTTTACAAGCAAAGGTATCTGAGTGAAATATCATTTTTGTTTTGCTTTAAAGAGAGAGAAAGAGAGGCAGAGAGAGAGAGAGAGAGAGAGAGAGAACCTGCTATGAGGACTGTAGCGAGCTGACAGTCTTCTAGTGTTGTACCTTGGAGATTCATCATGGCATTTACGGTTTGGCCTTACCCTACCCAAACTTCTTCAATGGCTGAGCACAGCAGGGGTGATAGAGCCAGGCCTCATCTGCTCAAATTGGAACCCCCTCAAATGGTCAGTCTTTGCTCTGTGGCTGCCTATTGGCCTGGCCAAGACATTCTTAGAGCTGTTACTATAATCTAAGGCTGTTCATACTGAATCCACCTCCCTCTTCTCATGACATTGACATGGGTGTCAGATCTGCAACCCAGTCTCAAACTTTCTCTGTAACTGCTTCTTCTTCCCTATAGCCATTTCCCCCAATCCACCTCTTCCATGTCTGTCTTGGTGTCTGTTTCTCTGTGGACCTGAACTGTAAAAGTCCCATTTACAGCAGGATGTCTAGCACCCCTGGCCTCTCCACAAAGACTGGCAGCACTGTCCCCACAATCTTGAGGCAACTAATGACACCCTCCACTGATTTCTTTAATAAAATATTTCTATTGAAAACCACTCACTCAGAGAATAAACATCAAGATCACAAATTTTAGAGCTAGAAGAGGTCTTACAGATAAAGAAAAATTAAAGAACGGAGAAGTTTAATGACTCCCTCTACTTATTTTCTCCTTTCCTATAGTGCCTTCACCTTCTATTCATTCCCTAATCCAATTCTTGCACCTCAACTGAAACTGATAAGTTTTGAATAGTGAGTTGTAAGTATCAAAGAGGCTGCAAGCCTCAATTCAGAGAAAAATTTAGGAAATGATCACCTTCTGAAAGTGATGCTAGGAAAAAAAAATCAGTATATGGTAGATAAAATTAGCCATCTGTGTAAGTAACTCACCCTTGGACTTGGCTTTGAATATATTACTTTTGTGATCAAGGTGCTTTCCAAGTTTCCATCAAGTCACATGGATATATTCTCAGGAAGACAATCTTCAAATGCGGAGGTACTGTGGAGTAATAAGTAGTAGACGGTATTATCTAAAAAAGATTCAAGAATTTTAGCTGCTTAGTTTTTTGATAAGTTTATAGCAGAGACCATTTTTCATTTTAATTCAATAAATATTCATCTAATACATTTATTTTCTGATGGCCTACTGTGTGCCAAGCATTATATTAAGCACAAGGCATACAATGGTAAACAGGACATGATCCTTCCTCACAAAGAACTCATGAGTTGGAACACATTACTTTTAATGGGGAGATATCACCCTCCAAAGGGGCAAAAAACCTTAGATATTACAATGGTCTGTGGCCCTCCAAAGAGCTACAGCACATAAACAGACATATAGCATATCTGTGGTTTAAGATTTCATGGGGGTGGGAGGAGCAATTAGGAAAGTGGTGCCTAAAATGGCTGTTTAGGGGCTCAATTATGAAAATAAGGCTAAGAAATATGGTCTAGAAGAAGAAAAAAGGAGAGAAAAAGAAAAGATGAAAGAGAAGGAAAGAAATTAAAAGTAGAATGATGAAAGAGAAAAAGGAAAGGAGGAAAGAAGAGATAATTAAAGGAGAAGGTATGTGAAATTTTAAGACAAAAATAGTTTTGTCTACCACCAAGCCATATGACATATAACTTTTTTTCCTTGACATTCTGAAATACAAGCTTATTCTTCTTACATTATTTCTGGCTCTGGCAACAAAGTATTAAAGGAAATGCAATACTGGAATACCTACTGTTTATAAAGAATTCCTTTTCCTAAAGCATTGTTATTTCTTGCACAAATACTCCAAATGTCCATACTTTTTCTCATTTAAAGCTTAAACTTACTTTGGGAGGCTGAAGCAGATGGATCACGAGGTCAAGTGATCAAGGCCATTCTGGCAAACATGGTGAAACCCTGTCTCTATTAAAAATACAAAAATTAGCCAGGCATGGTGGTGCACACCTGTAGTCCCAACTACTCAGGAGACTGAGGCAGGAGAATCACTGGAACCTGGGAGGAGGAGGTTGCAGTGAGCCAAGATCATACCACTATACTCCAGCCTGTTGACAGAGCAAGGCTCCGTTTTAAAAAACAAACCAAAACCAAAACCAAAACAAAAAAAAACCAAACAAACAAAACCCCAAAACAAAAAACATTAAACTTGCTAGGCACGGTGGCTCACACCTGTAATCCTAGCACTTTGGGAGGCCGAGGCAGGTGGATTACCTGAGGTCAACAGTTTGAGACCAGCCTGGCCAACATGGTGAAACCTTGTCTCTACTAAAAATACAAAAAAATTAGCTGGACATGGTGGTGCACGCCTGTAATCCCAGCTACTGGGAGTGCTGAGGCACGAGAATCTCTTGAACCCCGGAGGCGGAGGTTGTAGTGAGCCAAGATCACACCACTGCACTCCGGCCTGGACAACAGAGCGAGACTCTGTCTCAAAAACAAAAACAAAAAAACCCCCAAAAAACCAAAAAACAAAAAACCCTGAAACTTGTTTGTATCCATTGAAGTACAGAGAAATAAAAAATTAAAGTTAAACTTGTATGATAATTTCCTTACTGGGTTCCTAAAAATCCTATTATTCCACTTACCTGTAATACAAATTTTGTTAGCTTCACAATATTGAAGTCCTTAATTCATAGCAGTTATTTATTTCATTTATCTGCCATAGTAGAGTAACCCATTTGTTATTGTTTGAGAACTGATTAAATTTTTCTGCAGTTTGGATTTATCCCTAGGACCTTTCCCTTGCTCTGAGTATGAGTGCACCAACTTTCTGATTACTAGTCTGATTTCTTGGGTTATCTTGATATAAGGAAGAGAGTGCTCTTGCTGGCAAACATTAGTATTCCAGTGAATAGAAAAGTATTATTTCTATTAGCACTTTAAAATATGTTTTATTGTGGCATAATTAACATAGAATAAAATACACATATCTTACTCAATTTCACGAATTTTGATAACTGTATATCCTGTGTAATTACCACTTGAAAGAAAATATAATCTACCATCTTGGGAACTTGGACTCCTTTCAATCACTGTCCCCTATAACCACTTAGAAATTTCTAAACCTAGATTGTGTTTCTTAGATTTCATACAAATAGAACAATACAGTTTGTATTCTGTTGTGCCTGGCTTCTTCTGTTTATCAAAATATTTGTGAGACTTACTCATGTTGTCAGGTATACCAGCAGTTTGTTCCTTTTTATTGCTGAGTTGTATTCCATTGTAAGAATATGTATCATTTTTAAATTGTATCTGTTTTCCTGTTGATAGACATTTAGGTTATTAGTTTTTGGTTATTATGAATAAGGTTGCTCTAAACATTCTTTGTCTAAGTTTTCTTGTGAACTTGCATTTTCATGTCTCTTGGGTAACTAAGTGAAATTGATGAGCCATGAATAAGGTAGAGGAAAGTACAATGAAAAAGAAATTGCAAAGTACTTTTCCAAAATATTTTACACTCACATCAGCACTGTGTAAGTTCCAGCTGTTTCACATCTTTGTTAATGTTTGGGCTACTAGACTTTATTTCAGCACCTGGGAATGTTTGTGAAATGAAATCCACCGTAGATTTAATTTTCATTCCCTTGATGATCAAAGGTATTAAGTACTTCCTCCATTATTTTTTTTATTGTGTTAAAATACACATAACATAAAAACCATTTTGTAGTATACGGTTCCATGGTATTAAATACTGTACATTCATAAATGTTGTGCAACCATCACCAGCATCTATCTCCAGAATTCTCTTTATCTTGTAAAACTGAAACTATACCCATTAAGCAGTAACTCCCCAGATCCCCCACCCCACCAGCCCCTGGCAAACGCAATTCTACTCTCTTGTCCCTGTAATTTTGACTCCTTTAAGTACCTCAGATAAGTGGAATCAGATGGACCAGTACCATTCCATGGCCTGTTAGGAACTGGGCTGCAAAGCAGGGAGTGACAGGTGAGCAAGCAAAGTTTCATTTGTATTTACAGCCATTCCCCATCCCTCACATTACCACCTGAGCTCTACGTCCTGTCAGATCAGCAGCGGCATTAGATTCTCATAGGAATGCGAACTCTATTGTGAACTGTGCATGCGAGGGATCAAGGTTGTGTGCTCCTTATGAGAATCTAATGTCTGATGATCTGTCACTGTCTCCCATCACCCCCAGATGGGAGCATCTAGTTGCAGGAAAACAAGCTCAGGGCTCCCACGGATTCTACATTATGGTGAGTTATGTAATTATTTCATATTAGAATGTAATGATAATAGAAATAAATACACAATAAATGTAATGTGCCTGAATCATCCTGAAACCACCCCGCCTCCCACCAGTCTGTGGAAAAATTGTCTTCCACAAAACTGGTGCCAAAAAGGTTGGGGACCACTGTTTGACTGTATGTATATACCATATATTGCTCATTCATTTATCTGTGGATGGACACTCGGGTTGCTTCCACATTTTAGCTATTGTGAATAATGCTGGTATGAACATGGGTGTGCAAGTATCTTTTTGAGACCTATTTTTTCTTCTAGCTCCATTTCTGAGTATAGATAGACGTATTTTCAATTATTTTAGGTATATACCCATAAGTGGAATTGCTAGATTATATAACTCTATTTTTAATTTTTTGAGGAGCCTCCATACTGTTTTCTATAATAGCTCTACCATTTTCATTCCCATCAACAGTGCACAAGGATTCCAATTTTTCCACATCCTTGCTAATATTTTTTAAAAATAGTATAGCCACCCTAATGGGTGTGAGGTGGTATCTCATTATACTTTTGATTTGCATCATAATGATTAGTTAAATTGGGCATCTTTTCATGTGCTTATCGGCCATTTGTATGTTTTCTTTGGAGAAATGTCTATTTGTGTCCTTTGCCATCTATTTACTTATTTAGAGATGGAGTCTTGCTCTGTCACCTAGGGTGGAGTGCAGTGGTGTGATCTTGGCTCACTGCAGCCTCTGCCTCCCAGGCTCAAGTGATCCTCCCATTTCAGCCTCCTGAGTAGCTGGGACTATAGGCACACACCACCATGCCTGGCTAATTTTTTGTATTTTTGGTAGAGACGGGGTTTTACCATATTGTCCAGGCTGGTCTCGAACTCTTGAGTTCAAGTGATCTGCCCACCTCAATCTCCCAAAGTGCTGGGATTACAGACATGAGCCACCATGCCTGGCCTCCTTTGCCCATTTTAAAATGGTATTCTTTGTTAGGAGTTCTCTATATATTCTGAATATCAATCACTTATCAGATATTACTTGAAAATATTTTTTCCTATTCTGTGGCTTGCCTTTTTACTCTGTTGATAGTGTCATCTGATAAACAAAATTTTAAAATTTTCATAAAGTGAAATTTGTCTATTTTTTCCTTTGTTGCCTAGGCCTTTGGTTTAATATCTAAGAAATCAATGTCAAATCCAATGCTATGAAGCTTTCATTCTGTATTTTCTTCTAAGAGGTTTATAGTTTTAAGTCTTATATTGATGTCTTTTTATCCTTTTTGAGTTAATTTTTGTATATGGTGTTAGGTAAGGGTTCAACTTCATTCTGGGTCTGGTTTTCCCAGCACTATTTGTTGAAAAGACTGTCCTTTCCGCATTGAATGGTCTTGGTACCCTTGTCAAAAACTATTTGATCATAAATGAGAGAGTTTATTTCTAGGCTCTCCATTCTATTTCATTGTTCTATGTCTGTCTTTACACCAGTACTATACTGTTTTAATTACTATAGCTTTGTAGTAAGTTTTGAAATCAGGAAGTGTGAGTACACAAGGCTTGTTCTTTTTTCAAGATTGTTTTGACTATTTCAGTTCCCTTGAGATTCCATATGAATTTTTAGGATGATTTTTCCATTTCTGCAAAAATTGTCATTGGGATTTTAATAGGGATTGCATAATGTGTTGATCATTTCATATAGTATTGACATTTTAATACTGCCTTCCAGTCCATGAACATAGATGTGTTTCCATTTATTTATATCTTCTTTAATTTATTTTGCATTGTTCACCTCCTTGGTTAATTCCTAAGCATTTTTTTCTTTTTGATGTTATCATACATCAAAATGATACTTTTGGAATTTTCTTTTTAGATTGTTTTTAGTGTATAAATAATAAGAGCTGATTTTTGTGTGTTGACTTTGTATCTTGCTACTTTCTGAATTCATTCATTAGTTCTGTTTTGTGAAATCTTTAGGATTTTCTACAAGATCCTATCATCTGTGATAGGATCTTTTTAAATGTATTATTTAATACAGGATATTGAGGAACTTTTAAATGTATTAGCCATTTGTATATCTTTCATGAAGGGAATGTTCATGTCTTTGCTATTAGCTTAAATGAGTTATCGTTAATAACTATTTTTATTGTTAGCTTGTAGAAGTCCTTTGCCAGATACATATGTAGTGAATATTTCCCAGTCTGTAGCTTAATGGTAACTTTGAAGAGCAAGGTATTCAATAAACTCCAATCTTTCAATTTTTTTTTGTTTTTATGGTTAGTGCTTTTTGTGTCTCATGCAATAAATACCTGCCTACTCCAAGGTTATTAAAACAGAGATTCTTCTGTTTTCTTTGAGAAGTTTTATGGATCTTGGTTTTATCTTAGGCCTAGGAGGCATCTTGAATTTCTGTGTATGGAGATGAAAGGTTGATGTTCTTTTTATTTTCCCTAAATAGTTATCCAGTTGTTTTAGTAATATTTATTAATCAATTTTTTTTCTTATTGAATTGCTTTGATGCCTTGGTCAAAAATGAAATGACTTTATATGTATAGATTTATTTTTAGACTTTAATCTGTTCTATTTAACTACTAGTCTATCCTTATGGAAATAACAGTCTTGACTACTGTAACTTTATAAAAGGCTTGAAATCAGGTAGTAAGTCTTCCAACTTTGTTCTTTTTAAAGATTATTTTGGCATTCTAGATCCTTCATTTTTTCACATAAGTTTTGGATTTTGTCCTAAAAAAAAAAGCCTGCTGGATTTTTTTTTGTGAGATAATTTTATATTTTTATTTCAATAGTTTTTGGAAAAAAGGTGGTTTTGGTTACATGGATAAGTTCCTTAGTGGTGATTTATTAGATTTTGGTGGAACTATCAACCTAGTAGGATACACTGTACTCAATGTGTAGTTTTTTATTCCTTAACCTGCTGGAATTCTGATATGGAAAATATGCATATCAATTTAGGAAGGATAGGATAATATTACTGAGTGTTCCCATCCATGAATATAAAATATTTCTCTATTATTTAAGTCTTCTTTAATTATCTTCTATCCATGTTTTGTGTTTGCTCTTTTTTTTTGAGACAGGGTCTCATTCTGTCACCCAGGCTGGCGTGCAGTTGCACAATCTCGGCTCACTGCAGCCTCCACCTCCTGGGTTCAAGTGATTATCGTGCCTCAGCCTCCGGAGTAGCTGGGATCACAGGCGCACACCACCACGCTCAGTTAATTTTTGTATTTTTAGTAGAGATGGGGTTTTGCCATGTTGGCCAGGCTGTCTCAAACTCCTGACCTCAAGCAGTCCACCTGCCTCAGCCTCCCAAAGTACTGGAATTACAGGCATGACCCACTGCACCCTGACTCATTTTGTTGTTTTTCAATACAGAGATCTTGCACATCTTTTGTTTATTCCAAGGTTTTGGATGTTTCTGGATACATTACAAATGGTATTGTTTACAATTCCACTTTCTATTGCTAGTATATAGAATTGATTTTTGCTATACTGAGCATGTATCTTATCACTTGTTAAATGAAGTTACTATTTCTCGTACTTTTTTTTTTTTGGACGGAGTTTTGCTGTTGTTGCCGAAGCTGGAGTGCAATGGATGATCTCGGCTCACTGCAACCTCCACCTCCCAGGTTCAAGCGATTCTCCTGCCTCAGTCTCCCAAGTAGCTGGGATTACAGGCATGCACCATCACGCCCGGCTAATTTTCTGTAATTTTAGTAGAGACAGAGTTTCTCCATGTTGGTCAGTCCGGTCTCGAACTCCTGACCTCAGGTGATCCACCCACCTTGGCCTCCCAAAGTGCTGGGATTACAGGCATGAACCACTGCACCCAGTCTCTCGTACCTTTTTTATATATTCTATAGTTTTGTATGCATACAATCATATTGTCTGTGAATATAATTTTACAATAGTCTCCCCTTACCTGCAGTTTCGGTTTCTGTGGTTTCAGTTACCTGTGGTCAACCTTGGTCCAAAAATACTAAATGGAAAATTCTAGAAATAGTTCATGTTTTAAACTGCATGCTGTTCTGAGTAGCATGATGAAATCTCATACTACTCTGTTCTGTCGTGCCTGGAATCATCTCTTTGTCTAGTATATCCATGCTGTATATGCTATCCAATGGTTAGTCACTTAGTAGCCAATTTGGTTTTAAGATCATCATTATCACGACCCTTGTGTTCAAGGCCAATAGTAGCCTAAAACTATGTCACAATGCCTACCTCATTCACCTTACTTCCTCTTGTCATGTAGGTATTTTATCATCTCACATCATCGCAAGAATAGTACAGTATCTTGGGAGACCAGTCACATACCTTTTATTACAGTATATTATTATAATTATTCTATTTGATTATTGTTGTTAGTCTCTTACTGTGCCTAATTTATAAATTAAACTTTGTCATAGGTATGTATACATAGAAAAAAATAGAGTGTATATAAGGTTTGGTATGATCCATGGTTTCAGGTTTCCACTGGGGGTCTTGGAATGTATCCCCAGCAGATAAGGGGGAACTACTGTACTTATTTCTTCCCATTTTAAAAATTGAGATTTGATTCACATACCATAAAATTCACTTTTAAGGCATATAATTTGGTGATTTTTAGCATATTCACAAAGTTGTACAACCATCACCACTATTTAACTTCAGGATATCTTCATCATTCCAAATATAAACTCCATACTTACTAGCAGTCAATCCCCACTGTCCCGGTCCCCGGCCCCTGACTATTAATCTATTTTCTTTCCCTATGGATTTGCCCATTATTAACATTTCATGTAAATGGAATTACATAAT